GATGCCATCTTTGAATATTGATGACACTTGCACGCGCCATCTCGCGGCAACTGCTTTTGCTATTGGAGGTCACAGATCAAAGGGCAGTGGGGGAAAGGTCAGATATCAGACATTTTCTGAGGACATGGCCTAATGGACAGAGTGAAAAACTTTTTTGTTTCAGCGCTGACCTACCATTTTTATCACTTTATTGAAAGGACCATGAAATGTGCTTTCCACTGACGTGCAAAGAGCAAGGCTTAGTGTTTGATAACCTTTTGACCCTCAAGAGGAGGGTTAAACATGGATATCTGAACTGCCTCAATGATGTCACAGTGTTCTCATATTCATGGCACATCTATAATCTAGAAAGCCAATATGTTTGGATAGCCCAACGGTTACAGCACAGGATTACAGCTCAAAGGGCCTTGGATCGAATCCCATCAGATTTTTTATTATTTACCTGTTTTCTCTATTTTTCTATCTTTATCCATTTAACTATTTTTTTCCAATTAACGGAAATATTTACATGATTTATTTACAACAATTTAATAACAACAAATAATTTTTACAATTACATTTTTTTTTTTAATAGGGTCACAATGCACCATAAAACAGGAGTTTCAGGCACGCGATTTGTATCAACCAATGGGATTTGGGAGGTATGCAGAATGCAGAAGGTTGCTGAAATGATGTGTACGCAACTGCGTATCTGCATATCTACGCCTAACAAAGGTGTCACTACGCACGACTTAAATGTTACGTTTATAACCGTAGCAACAGACCTCAGATGAGCCCAGACGCTCTGCGGCTCTTGTGTTTTTGAATAATTGTTTTGTTATTTTTACAAACCGGATCTTTATAGTTTATAACCTATAGAATGCATAACCATGTTCCTTGTATATATAAATGTAAGTACAGAGAAAGGCTTCTGTGTCATCCTATTATTAGCTCATCTGACATAGTCAGATGCAGCTTGTAGAATCGCATGATCGTCCGTCCGTCCGGTCGTCCGTCCGTCCGTCCGTCCGTTAGAGTGATGTTTAGTTATGCCGGCACGTGGCGCCGCCGATAGTGGATGAGGATGCTTCAAAGGAATTTGGAATGTTGCTGATGGGGGGGAAACAAGGTTCCCGGATGTGCAGCAAGGCGCGATGGCGGAGTTTTTCGATTGCATATCGGCAACTGAGCTAAAACTCTTTCAAACTTTTCGGTTTACGCTTCATGAAACAGTCGTATATTTGCAAAGTGATAATTAACACATACGGATATGGAAACATTAAGTAAGTCCAGTTGTGAGATATGTGAGAGGCGTATGATCTAGTTGAGCTTCAGGTTTCACATGGGAAACTTCTCATTTCAGATTTTACATGTAGGCCCTATAGGCCCCTACGTACAAACTACAACTACAAGTACCACGCACTACAACTACAACTTACAAGAAATTCTATAGTGATATACGAATCGATTAGTGAATTATTCGATAATAATTTTTGTTGTTGTTTTATTGGAGTATATGAGTCATCGATATAATGTAAGGGTCCAGACACCGCAGAAACTAATTTATTTCACATTTATCTGTAGCAAACGAGAAAGTGTATAACCACAGATAAAGTAGTAGGACACAGGCCCTTGGAGGCTCAAGTTTCAAGAAGAATATAAAGCGAAGCGGTATACCGCGGTAACCGCTTCGCTCTTATGCTCTTCTTGAAACTTGAGCCACCAAGGGCCTGTGGTATAACGTGTAAGGAATACACCCAGTTTTGTTGGCGGTAACGTTGGGGGTGCGGTTGCTGATTCACGTAAAATCACTATATCCGCATTGCATCGCGTGTACGTGTACATCGGCATGAATGGAAAAACAAAAATTACTTTTAGATCTCAATCACAGATTCGTCTCTCTCCACTGCCAGCCAGAATTGCACGGATCCGTGCGTTCACACAATTAAACCAGTGGCAGTGCTTTAATTAAAACATCAACATTGACAATCATGCAGTACTTCCTTGCTGTAGGTGACTCATGTAGAATTTACTGTAGGACACTCACTGGAGCTCATAGGGTCTATGTCCCCTAGGCCCTAGGGTACTGCCAGAAAGTTCCCTGGGTACGGTCCGGTATACCGGAACATACCCTGGTAACTATCTCATATGGTTAGGGTTAGGGTTAGGGTTAGGGAGTAGGCAATGTACGGTCCGGCATATTAGATAGTACCAGATAGTAGATATTAGGTAGACGTTCCGGCAGTACCCTGGGGGACATAGACCCTCTCAGCCTCACTGGAGGGCCCCAGTGGAAAGCAGACAAATCTTGTAAGAATGTAGCTCATGGCCCGGCCTATTTGACGACACACGTACACGTGTATGTATAATGATGTCATCAGGCTGATGTCATATATTCATAATGGAGAGAGAAAAAAATAACAATTTTGATACCGTTAGCCATGAATTGCAATATTGTAAACCAATCCAGCAGCTGTAAATATTCTGTCACTCAATGACTCCCTCGAATCTTTTTGTGTGTAGTCAACAGTGATGGGAGTCAGGGAGCTAAATAAAAAGACAGATGATGCTAATAATAATAGAGGCAGTAATTGTGCTGCTGGGGAATACCTATAGGG